TTAGTACTCGTCAAGACAGTATACAACACAATATCTTATGGAGAGTCCTGGGGAATGCGTGTCGTACGCGTGTTATTGAACTCGGATGTATAATAGTGTTTTTTTTTGCTGCACATACTACAAGACAATGGGCGCGAACCAACAAATGTTATAACGTCTTCCGCGCCTAGCCCCCTCGTGTTATAATAAAAAAAAATATATAACAATAAAATAAGATCCGCGAAGAGACGTGTTTTTTAGAGGGACAATATTTCGCTGGTTCGGCTCACAAGTCAAGCCTTATAATAATAACAGTGTAACCGGACGAGGGTGTGTTCCGAGTGTTACAACACCGCACTTATATTATGTGCCGCGTTTGCTGGAAATTTGAAATCCAACCCAATAATGACGTCCCGGTAGGTGGTGTTTTGTATTATATATGTATACGTGCAAACATTTTTCTCAATAGGAAATCGAATTAATCTTAAAGCGCTCAACACAAATCAATCTACCCATTACTTATACAATACCGGTATCCCGCAATCATATACAATTTCTATGATGTAAACCCTGCACCAAACATAAACAATAAAACGGTGGTCAATTTCTGCTTTATTATGCGTACCTACGTGAAATTTAAATGTATATAATATATTTTATAAATGGACCGCACTATACACTGGTGGTAGGAAGAGGGGGGGGGGGTTTGGTAAAATTGAGTAGGCAATATGAACCTCCCCCATATTTGCGTCACCACGGAGAGGTCGAGAAAGTCATTTTTGATTAAGTGTCAAAACAACAAGTGGGTAGTTGTACGCCAACCGTTTACGTCACGACCCGTTTAGTTTGTTTTTAAATATATATTCTAACGACGTGTAAGCCAATATTATAATTTGTTTTTGTTTTTTGCACAGTGTTAAGTTCTGTTTTCTTCGAAACGATGGTTGGTGTACGAGAAAAATTCGAAACCCGATTCGAGACTGTAAAAAACGCTTCACGGTCAACTAGCTAGTAAAAAAAAAAGAAAAAAATTCTAACGACAACAGTATGAATATGTATAACAACGTCCGGCGAGACTTGGGGTAATGCGGTAACTCGCGCTGTGACGAAGGCGGCGAAACGAACCAACGTTGCTATACTTACACATTTTAACTGTTTAAAGTTATATTGCTTCAATAGATTCGGTTTTTGTCGGCCGACACACTTATTGTTAACGGTAGGTGTATTTTATTTGTATACAATTTTATCGACTTAGACACGGCAAACCCTACGGGCGAGAATTAAAAAAAAATAAACCAAATGAGAAATACCACCGTCGTCTGGGCCGGTTACACCCTGTAGCCAAAAACAGCAACACTACATTGGCGACTTGTCAAGAACACTGGCGACGACAAAACGAAACTTCCTGCGTAGCACAACAACAAATGAAATCCGAAAAATGCCCAAGTCGCCAAAATAAAGGGCACACGCCCAACGATCCCGAAATTCCGTCTGCAAACCGAGCACACGGGTTACCTAAGTACACGCGGTGTTACGTTCTCATTCTCTGATCAGTGTTGCGATAAAATCAAATGCGACAAAAATGATTAAAAATGCCAAAAATACAAAGACCTGTTGTTAGGACAGCCCGAAAGATTATTTCCGAAGGACAACCCGAACCCGTTTGTATTAAATACATTTAACAAACGCTCGTCGAGTCGTTTATTTCTGGGCCGGTCCATTTGTTCGGTCGAAACTCGTGTAAATGTATCTCATCAATTTCACACACAATACGCTTGACTGCATTTACTCGCCGTCCTTGTAGATTTATTTTTTAGCGCCTAGGATGGTCTTTACACCGTCATCGAAAGAAATAAAGAAAACCGCCAAACACATCATTAATATCTTCACTAGGCGAACGAAAAGTACACAGTTACAGAAACGGCTACTGCCGAACCGGACGACGTATTTTAAGCTTTGGAAATAATTGCATATTTCATAAAAGTAACCTAGTACCCGCCTTGTTTTGAAGCCACACACCATCAAAACTGATTTTAGCCAATTAATTCGTCAAGGCTTTTGAGGTCTAACGCTTTTAATTTTACGTCCGTTGGAGCAATTTTTTTCGAAGGGGAATTGTTAAGTAACATCAATTTCCTTGCCAACTTATAGCTGTTGCCAGTTGTACGCTAACACCCGTGCTATTTCAATAGGCTATTGCTATAAAAACACAGAAGCCCCAATTATTTTGAGAAAGCTAAACCTATCCCAAAACGTGATAATTTTTTTTTTTTTTGTGTAACGCAACAAAAAACCCAAGTTTATTCAATTTAATGAATTCGTGTATTTCACTTATTTTATATTGTTTTTGTTTACAAATCCTCGCGAGGAATGACTCATTTTGGTCGATTAAAATTCAATGATTCGAAATTGAACAAAATTTGAAATATAATTTGTTTTTTCGTTGGAAAATTTGGTGATCTCTACACTGACGTCGTGGGGTTTCTTTAACCGCAACGATGCGAAGGTGGTAATACAATAATAATAATAATAGTAACAACATTAAGTAATGCCGATAATATCCGGTGCATTTTACACCGCGATAACCCCAAGTGCGGTTTTTGCTTGCGGTCATCATGTGTTACAAAACAACAACAATAATAATATTATTATGAATGAATTCGTTTTTGACGCACACATCGCAATAAAACATACATAGTATTATGTGTATTATATAAAAAAAAAAAAAAAACATTTATTTAAAAAAAAAAAGCCAGTCGTCCCGATCATTTCGCCCTAATCACAAAAAGTATTATTATTATTATTTTCATTGCACTCGGCACTGCTCAAAGGTCGTGCACAGCAATGCCGATGCCGGGGACTGGTAGTTGCAATAGTACTAGTACTAGTAATTAATACCAAGTAGTAGTACTAGTAATAGTAGTAGTAGTAGTAGTAGTTGTAGTAAACTCTATTCGGAATAGTGTCAGTACCCGTGTACAGTCACCGTGCACGACGACAACAATTTATAATATGTGTGTACAGTCATAACCACCGCGTCACCGCATAGCAGAAAACATCACGCCACATCACGTGACCCGCCGGCGACCAACCAGCGACCGGCGACCACGTGCTCCAAACGACCGTCACCGCCGCGGGCGGCCGGTGCGATTTTAGAGGTACACCCAGACATGTAATATATTTATATGTTATGTACAGACTAGTGCGTGCCTTGTATACTACACACGTTGTACACCTGCACCAGGTAAAATAATATACCGCCGGATGAATCGAATCATGCGCCATCACTACAGTGTAGGTTGGGTCCGTATCATAACTGTTTTTTCGTACCTCGCATAGCCCTCCCCCCCCCCTTTTGTATATCTTCGTTAATTTTAAATATGTGGCGAGTATGCCAAATTTCGTATTTGGAATGGAAGCGTGTGTAGTCGGCTAAATAACAAAACAACACTGACGGAAAAACACATTTCATTCAATGTTGACAAATTTTGTTTAATCAAGAAATTATTGTACTCTAGATATAGGTTACAGATATTCGGAGGAGATGATAAAAGCGGTCTACATAAATTATTATAACGTAAGTGTTTTTTTTTTTTAAACCGTCGACTGGTGTGTTTGTCCTAGGTCAGGGACAAGCCGATAAAAAAAAAACAAATCTGACAGTACACACGTCTGAAATTCAAGAAAAGATAATACACCAGACTCGATCGAGTTCGAATGCAGTTTAGTTTACTACAACAGTAGAAGCATAATATACTGTAATCATAATAATTATTGTTGCAAAATTAACACTGTACAGCAAAATTTGATCATTTTTTTTAACAAAAACCAAAATTACTTTATCCGCTGAATCCAAATCTGGCCTTATATATCGTCTAGCAAGTCAATTTGTTTTTTAAATGCCCTCCAAAGTTTTCAAAATTAATAAAACTAAATTAAAAATTTTCTACGCATTTTTCATTGATTTGGAGATCAGTTCTGAATTTTGAGGGAAAAAATAGAATAAAAAACTATATATAGAAAATTATTCAAATGTACAGGACACAGTAATAACTCCACAATAAAGTGCTTTGGCAGGCCACGCTCGGGTCCAGCAAAAAATAGGCTTATTTTGATTCAAGTTCTAAAAAAAGGGTCGGTTGTATAGCGAACTGCTGCGTTTTTTTATCGTTACAATATGTTCGCATAAAAATAACTTTCATTTCGGTAGACCTATTTAGATTATAATTGTAACGCTTCAGTTTTCTATCAAGATATCACATTACTCTTTATTTGTAGCAGGGTGAGGAAAACAAGACGGATTTTTGGAAATTTAATACGACGGTTTTCCGACTTTTAACACTCGGCCAGGAATGACAAATTAATGTACCAGACAAATTTGTTTCAATACCATAATAACTTTCACACTGTTCAACCTGTCTAAAACAGCTTACGTCGTCGTTGAATGCAGAGATATTATTTAATTAAAACTATTTTAGCAAAAAAAAAAAAAAAATACAAGTATTGGCAAAATTCCGGCAGACATACTGCAGCGTATTATGCGATAGACAATATCAGTCAGATTTTACAACATTTTTTAACGATAAGTAATCGGAAACACGTGTCCCACCTAAAAACAAAAAGTGAATGCATTTTTCGCCTACTCGACGAAACAAAAATTGACTTGGTCAGAACAATAACGTCCTGTATGACTGAATAATTTGTTCTACGGCCATTGACGTGTTAATCCGGTTAAACGGTTTTTATAAATAGGTTTAGTACAATTTCGCGTGTCGCACCGTTTGGCTGCGAATAATTTGCACTGCTATTACAACGGCGGATGGTTGATATTTTGTTATAATATTTTACTCACTGGCCCGGCGTTGTGTTTACATAATATTAAGTCCAAGTCAATTTTGACTTTTGAAAAATCACAATTTCCTAGGTCATCGACTCGCCAACCGGCGCACGTATTCTGCAGCGCGTTTGTTGACAAACAACTTGTAGCACGTTAAGCATAATACACACTGCAACACACTTACCTGTTTTGCACAAGGCCGGCGACTCGTCCGTGTTGTCGCCGCAATCGTCGTCGCCGTCACAAGTCCAAGCCAGGGGAACGCACTTGCCATTGCCACAGGTATGCTGCCTCAGGGTGCACTCGACGTGGGGCATTGGCCTCTTGACAGGGGTATTGTTGCTGCTGTTGCTCTGCTCTACAGTGGTGTTGCTGACGATACTATTCGATTTAGTCGCTGCAAAATAAAAAAATACTTTAATAAAAGTCTATGCGTACAACAGTACAATATTGCCAGGGATGTCTAACTAAGAGATGGTCAGACGGTTTTGATTTGCTCGTCCGTTGTTTTGTTCCAGACGAACGAGCAAATAGAGATGGGCAAACTACTGGGAAGAGTTTTTGTTTTGTTAAAGCCGAACACAACCCGTCGGTATTTATTTAATTGGACCATTTTTAAATTACCAATATCTGACCGAAATAACGTTGGCACGTTTACAGGAAAACAACGGCGCGCACGTGGATGACATAAAAAAACACTTTTCATTATTATACTTATATAATGTTACACGTGAAAAAACATCAAGGTCGTCGGGTATCATTTCATTATAATAATTATAATACCTATAATATTATGCCTTCAAGTGGCTCTATGATTATATAGTGTTACGGCGTTTAATCGATGCGGCTCCGGTTTATCTCTTCCGGGTCAAGTACATACAATGTGTACATGGACTTGTACCATTTTCATCGTACCTCTCCTCGCCCCTCCCCCTCAAACACATTGCACATAGGTTGACCCTTCGGCCGGTCTAAAGGGTAGTGCTGCATAGTTTCAGAGTGGCTAACAACAGTTGCCAAGTTATTGCGATTAACTTGGGGCAATCGACCGTTGTTCGCGTAGTTACCATTGTCCATTGAAGCGATCCGCTTCGTCAATAATGCCTCCGAAACAGATACAGACTATAACAACTTTAAATAACTTAACAGGGTTTACTTAGACTTACACGGTTATCCGGCAAAAGAAAGCGTCTACAGCGACACTGAGCGTTCACAGCGGTTAGGTTAACAAACCTCTCGCATTAAACCCGTGTCTTTCTCTGCACGCCCCAACGAATTTTTTAGTAAACTATTTCTAGATTTTAGTATTTACTGATAAATATAATAACGTGCCCGATATGGTATGAGGGACCAAATCTAATATTTATTATTCATTATTGCCTTCTTGTTCGATCCTGCTCGCCTTATAGGGTCAAACACATTTCATGGCATTATATTATATTATATTGTGCATTGAAAACGTGCCAGGGACGTGTGTCGCACACGAGACTGAGAAAATCGAAGGTAGTTTCTGTATATACGTTTCTGGCTAATTGAATGGCTTGGCGACGACCGACGTTTGCGCTGCTTCTACTTCCCTGCCGACCGTTTCCCTCGGTCGGATTTGTCCCCTAAATCCGATGGGCACAGACGCTATGTCCGGTAAACGTCAGCAATTTGTTGGATATATATATATTTATTTGTTATGAAGACATTTTGCGCACACGTTATTCGATATATATATATAATAAATGACTACTTGGTTGTAAGAGAAAAAGAGAGGGGTGCAAATAGTGAAAATGCATTTATATAATTTGATATTTTTGGCACAGTCTTAATGTAATTGTTTTTCAAGAATAAAGTCAAGACCGGCGTACGCTTAAAATTAACAAAAACTTGTATGTTTTTAATTAAATCCAAATTCAACAAGCAGTCATTCCACTACCCGAGGGATTATATTGAAAGTACAATTAATATGTAAACGATCACATAAATTAATCGAACTTCCGCGTTTGGGCTTTTGCAATGTTATTATCTTGTCTTTATCTTGCGATACACTTAACAAACGAAAAGCGTATAAACACGTGCGGAATAAACGAGCTTGAAATCGTCTCTTTAGTGGATTAACCAGTTGGAATTTCCATTCAACGACGAGGTCGATGCTGAGTTAATTGCCTTGAATAATTGTTGCAATAGTTATTATCCTACTATAACTTTTGTGTTTGTTATAATAAAAAAAAATTGTTTTTCATCGTTTCGTCCAGCCGTACAGGTCGCTGAACGCTGACCTAATCGTTGTTGGGAAACATACATAGGTACGTCGTTAATTGTATATTATTTTTAGAGATTAGGGGAAAGCATTACTAAACACAATGAACATGCCTACGTTGCAAAAGGCATAATACATTTGTGAAAACGATGCCCGACAATATATAGGGTGTGTACGTTTTAATTGTTTGCACGCATAAAAGGTAGTATGAGTGTACCTTTAGACGATTAATTCATGTGTACAAATAATCGGTACATTAATTATGCGAGTCAGAAAAATTGCAACCCAAGTGTCGTGGTATCTAGTGCTGCTACAAGCTATAAACGATGATGAACCCGGAACAAATATAAAAATTAAATAGGTGACATTTATTTATAATATTATATAACGCGATATTATTATATCAGCAGATTCCTGGCTAGAAATCGTATGCGCTCAGTACGACGTTGGCCGTGTTAGCTTTAAAACCAGAATGGTATGTTTTTCTACTATGTTAGCATAATATAGTAGATAATAAAACAGTGCACACCGGTGGAAATGTGAGAGATAATATTAAGCCGCTATAATATTGGTATTATATTATTATTATACACAAACAAACTACGTCAGCCAACCTCCAACTCGTTTGGAATACGCGTCCAGTTTTGTTTTTAAAAATATTTTTTTTTCAACTATTTTGGCACATTTCGTCATTGTATATTTATAATTTATTTAACAACGATCGGGTTTGGAGATGATGGTGATGGCTATTGTCGGCCAAAAGCACTTTTTAGACCCGTCACGGTCCATACAAAAAACAAATAAAAAACAGCACTTGAACGGAAGAACCCATTGTGAGCTACTCGTATGCTAATCATTATTACTACCGTGTTTGTTTGTCGTGTCAGGAAGCAAAAATCCTAATGTAGATACCTCTAATCGAAAAGAATGAAGTCTCTGAAAAATTAGAATTTTTTTTTAAAACTATTATCAACACAACAACAGTAATAATCGTCAACCGTCACTGGGCCAACAAAACAATTATATTATTACACACGGTCTTAGTGCAAACCACCATAGTGTTGCCAAATCGTTTGAAATGTCTTTCCAAATCGAGACGAGTTCCAGCAGCTATTTGACTACAATCAATGCAAGCACCGACTACTTTGAGTGTTTAGAAGAAGTGCTCGAGGAAGATGTAGCGGATTACGAGGAGATCGACCGACAACAATGCGAACCTTCGGAGTATGCGGATTACGCGGACGGTACTTTCTGGAAGCTGAGAGACTGCGGCATAAGCGCTGCCACAAAAATCAAAGGACCCGGTATTACTACATTGCTCCAAAGGCAGAGCAGACACAGCTTGTTGTTGTTAACGATTTTGCATACCGTTTCACAGATAAAGAAATGATAAAAAACAGCTGGGACGCGTACCAGCGGTTAGTCAAGTTGTACGATCTAGTCGAGTGGTCCGTTTTAGAAACGCAGTTCGCCACAAACGAGGTCGATTTACAAGTAATAAGCCGTCAACTGTTCTTTAAGCCAAGCAATATCTCCAATTTCCGTTCATAGAAGTACGGTCTGAGCGAGTACGATGTCAAAGCGGTAACGAGGGCTTTATTCGATAACAAACAAGTCACGTGTTTGAACTTGTCCGAAAACATATTGAAAAAAATTCCATGCGGTTACGTGGCAAACATGCTTGGTAAAAACAAAGTTATCAAGCATTTGCAACTCTGTCGATGCAAGTAGGCGTAAAATATTAATATCCGACTCGGAGGTTTTTGTCGTTTCACTTGTATGATTAAGGATCGACAGCGAAGCATCGGCTGAATTGGCCGGTGCACTGGAAAGGACTTCCTTGGACACCATTGACCTGAGCTACAACGAGATCGGAAACTCGGGACTTCATTTCGTCTTAGACGCGTTACAGACAAATAAATACCTACAAGTCGGTTTGGTCATCTGGATTTGTATTTTAGTAAATCTCTAGTTATAACGCTCATTGCTATAGGAACTGGACTTGAGCCGCAACAACCTGACCAAAGGATGCGGTCGTGACATAAGCACCTTTTTAGAGATCAACGAAGACCTGAAAACAATTAACTTGTCCGACAATTACATAGATAAAAAAACAGGTCAGTCGTCGCGGGTCGATACAAGCAACCGTCCGCCGAGTTAGCGTTTAACCTAAAATCTAACCTACCGCGTGTGCGCTTATACAGACTTGACCTTTGTGGTGAGGTCGATTTGTAATATGAACGAAACTCTAACAACGCTGATAATGAGATGGAACGGCATTTCGGGCGAAGAGTGCGCCGGGGTGTTCAAAACACTAATGATGAAGTCCGAAACCTTGAGAGTGTTGGACATCAGCTGGAACAAGTGCATAACCACCCGGCAATTGTGATTGCCGGCAGCCAGTTTTGCACTAGGGTCATTTAGGGGAAACGTGTGTAAAGTTTCAGAGACGTCGGCAAGATTTTCGGTCCCGGCATCAAGAAATCCGTGGGTCTGGAACACCTCGACGTGAGCAACAACCCGCTGACCACGGAGGACACGGTGGAACTGTTGAATTCCGTCCAGCAGCCAACGTCGCTGAAGATTTTGGGTTTGACTCACGTGCTGGTCGACGAGACGTTGGAGAAGGCACGCAAAGCACAGTAATTAATTACATTCACCGCACTCGGGTTAACTTCGAGCGCGCTTCGTCGTCGTGTTCGCAGGCCATTTTCAACGTACAGACCAGAATGCCGGGTTTCCAAGTCAGGGTGGGCGTGTACACGAACATAAGAAGAAAGCCCACCGACTTGCAGTCGCTTTATTTACGGCGACTCCACTATTTGGGCGTCACCAAACCAAAGAAGAAAACCAGCAAAATCGATATCGGGTGAGCGCGACTTATCTCGCTGAAAATATTATTACCTATTATCTTTATCGCTCAAAGGAAACTGTATAAATTCAAACTTTTGCCGGGGTCTTAACGTCGGCGGCTTAGCGTTTTAAATCCATTCGGATTCATTAATCTTACACCGCAAAACAGCGTGGACCGTTTATCCTACATAAGCTTTAAAGATGACCGAGCTCCCCACCACCCTGATTACTCGGTCAACATAGTACCGCCGGTATTGCGTAGTGCATACAATATTATACTCAATATCGGACAATAT